TTCTGGGGACAGGAAACTGCGGCTGAAGGTGAGCAGATTTGACATGCGGGAAGGTGACCTGTCCAGTCCTGAAAACATCCAAGTCAGCACAGTCCAAATATACCTGAGGATCCTGTACAGCATCACTTATCTACTTCTGTGAAGCCTAGAGCACAAGTTTACAAAGTTTAATTTTAGCATGAGGTGAAACATCACATGATCAGATTGATCAGCAGCACTAAGGAAGGCATGATGACCGCTGCTTGCTGTGGTGTGGCAGTGACCCAAGGTTTATGAATGACTCTGAATGACTGTAGTGTAAATTGCTCTGGAGACCTCCGATTTGAAAAGACGCCTCATAGGCAAAGGCCACTTAACATAATGGTAGGTAAAAAACTCTAAAGCAAAAAAACAAGCAGCAACCATCCTCTCATCAAAAAGATGCAGATTATACAGCTTTTAGAGAAGGTTTTGCATTAAATTATCTAAACATTCAATTAACTACATTTAAAGATTAAGGAACAAAATTACTGAAAATGTCTGCGACACAAAAATAATCAATAGGGTCACACTGTCAGATTTCCTGCAGGGGTGAACAGAATGGAAATACATCCGACCTTCTGTGAAGTTATTGTAATTTCCAAACTCTGGTGAATGCTTTAAGAGCTTGACTTTAGCTCTGCACTGAAAAAAAAGAATGCAACTTTTTCTGGCGTTTACTTAATCATATTTAGTTAGTTTAACACAATTATTTTATGTTAGCAGCGTAGGACATAAAACACTTGTGTTAAAGTAACTAAATATGATTAAGTAAATGTCAAAAACGGTTCCTTTTTTTTTATTGAAGGTTTTTTTTCGGTGACACCACCGACTTAGTTAGAAATGACAGTCAACACTTTTTATCAACTTACAATAAAACAAATATGAAAACTGAATATTTTGTAAAAGATATAAAGCTAATAGATGACAGAATTGTGGAAGCTTCTCAGCTTAATCATTTCCTGTTTCCATTAGAAACGGGAAATGAATTGAACTGAAACAGAAATGAATGTAACTGTGTTAATATATTAACACTGCAAATAAAAAACAGTGTCATATGATGTCTGCCATAAAATGTGATTCAAGTTTCAGGAAAAGAGAAATGCTGTTTGTCAGTGTCCAAGACAGGAACCCAATTATGTCAACTCCAATATTTACCAAGACCATGGATAGTCTGCATAATGCTTCTAATTGGAGTCTTTGCATAAACCAATAATTGCCATGCATCCACGCGCTTTGTTTGCCCAGTAAATAGAAAATAGCACTAAGACAAGGCTTTATGCAACAGCTTCCACAACTTTATGCACAGAGGGATATAAAAGCAGCCTTTATGATATAAAAAAATAGGGCTCACTCTTTACAGGGATATGATCTTGGATGTTGACCAATCAATCTCCTGAGCTCTGGCTGTGCTTTGGATTTATTATGTTTTAAGCAGCTGTAGAGCGTGCTAAATTACATTACTGAATTAGAGCAAAATTTCCATCCAAAATATTTAATGACTGAACAAAAACTGAGCTTTAATATGAATAAATTTGCCACCACCCACTGACATGTAAAGCCACAGCCTTACCTTTTGACTCACTGGTCCTCACTCAGCTTAATTGGACTCAGGCGACACAGACGGCTGTGTTTGGTTCAGTTGAGCACACCTGCTGTGGATTAAAGTAATGAAAAGATAAACTTCTTATTGTTGGATTTATTGGTGGTTGGCAACAAACATTTAGTAGCATTACTGCCACTTACTGGTATGGAGTGTGGTAATAATAAACATACCGTATATATAATTTCTAAGGGAAAAAAGAAAAACTACATAATAAACATAACTTTGTATTCTACCCATCCATATCATACACACATTCACCCTCTCTATAATCAAATTCTATGAAATAATTTAGTTTTCTTTAAAAATCGAATAATTATTTGTATATGTTTACTCCTAAAATTCTTCCTCAAAAATATCTAATAAATCAATCTTCTCCTTAATACAGTCAAACTCTCTCCTCATATATCTTCTCTCGCTTTCATATTTATGACATTCCAGTATAACATGATCTATTGTTTCATATTTTCCACAGTAATCACATTTGCCAGTAGTTTGCTTTCGAATTTTGAAAAGTGTATAATTAAGTCCTTTATGCCAAAATCTTAACCCTGTTATCACTCTCTCCTCCTTTCTATTTCATCTTCCACTTCTTCTTTTTACTACTATCTTCTGAATTTTATAAAACCCTCTTCCTGTTTTTTCTTCACCGCATCTTTTTTTGCCATTTTTCCATTAATTTCTCTTTAATAATACTCTCTCCTTTCGATTTATTGTTTTAACTGTAAAACTAATAGGATTTTGAATTGCTCTCTTTATATATATATATATATATAAATAAATAAATCAATCATCAAATCAGGTTACAGTTGCAACACTAAAAAAAGAATTTACTCCAAGGTATGGTGGTTCCCTTATGTGGGACATGAATGTAATACATTATACTTTATTATATATAATATAATAAAAACTGAGGTGTATCTTTAAATTCTGGAATCTTACCATAGAACACATTAAAGTTTTTACTGAAGTGAGTTTCATTTTTCATGTAAACATAATAGACCAAAGTACATAACTGTACTATATTTTTTGTAAAGCTTACATTATTACAATAAAACCTACTTTACATTTCCCCACAACTTGAGCATTATTCTGGAGTATCAGAATAAAGAAACTGACAGAATGTCAGTTTTTTTTGGACACCTTTTACATTTTCCTTCAGCACCAGAATAATCAAATCTTTTGATTTGATCTGTAGCATAACATCTCAATAAATCAATTTGTGGTTGTGATACATCAGCCTGGTCAAGATTTTTGGCCGATATCAGCAGTCTTTTCTTTGTACCTGTACTGACTGAAAAGCGCATGCGTTTGCCAATTCATTGGTAGATTTAGCAGCCTTGCCTTGAAATCATCAGCATTACTGCTTTCTCCATTGTTTGATTTGTTAATAAATGTTTATTTTGGTTTAAGCTGAGATTTAAACTGAGTGTAACGGTTATTATTCCATCAATGACATCTTAAATGGAGTAAGAAAATGCCATATTGGCTCTAAAAATCTGCCTGGAAATATCAGCAGCGCATATCAAGGATCAGTTAGACAGATGTCAAAATTATCAGTATTAGCCTTAAAAAAATGTTTCTGTCTATTCCAGCAAAGAATGCAAATATTCAGTGAATAGCTTTGCCAGGTACTGTAAGTTTCCTTAATATTTTTTGTGTTTTAAGTAATTTAAACCTCATCTTAATAACTGACTGGATGCCTGTAAATGGGATTCAGTCTGAACCATAAACCAACTACAATGGACAAAGCTGTATAAACATTGTATTGGGATGCTATAGTTAAATTGACATTTTATTTGATATAAACAACAACACGGAACATATTTGTTTTATCAAATGCCATCCTGGTTTAGTGCATTTATATATGGTCCCAGTGTGATAAAAAATGGGCAACACTTTCTTTTACAATACATCAATAACCTGGTAATAACCTGGTAATAACATAGCAAGTCACACTAACACTAGGCAACAAGAAAAAATGTATGGAGAATTTTGGTAATTGCTGTGCTTCAAATTTTAGGAAGACAAGATAAAGTCAGAGTTCTTAGATTTCAAACTGTTATTACCTGGTAACATATTAATTTCCCAGACAGCAATAAATGAATGTGTGATTGTCTGGTAAAATGCAGTTTATCACTTGGTGTATAACAGAAAACCAAACCTAGAAGACAGCAACCCAATATTCCTAACTAAGCTCTTATTTAATCGTAACTTGAGTTCAATTTATTAATGCTTTATTTACCTGATCAAAAGTTCCAATTTACTTTGTAAGCAATTGGTAGGTGGTGTCCAACAATAGAAACTATTATGTAGTAATTATTGTAATTATTCACCAAAAGTCTCCATGGTTACATACAATTGTAATAATTGCATGCAGGTTATTATTCTGAAATTATATACCTTAATTTTCGGGGTACTTACCCAAAACAAGTTTTTCTTGTAACCAAGTTTTATAGTGTAACTTGCTATGTTATTAGCATGTTATTAGATGGCTATTCATGTACGGTAAAAGAAAGCGTTACCAAAAACTTGGCTTAAAATTTGTTCCTAAGTGTTTTTTTCATTAGTTAGCTGCATTACTGAGATTTCCTTTGCTTGATGAAGCATGAAGTAAAAAATGGGGGACCATTCATAAGTCCTAGATGCTCTTAGATGTGGATTAATATTAAAAATTCAATGTGCCTTTGCTAATATAGGTTTGATTTTATTTACCCATGGGGTCCAGATATTGGGAGACCAAATCCATTGAATTCAATTTGATTCAGTTTGTTTATAGTGCCAAATCACAACACATCATCTCAAGGCACTTTACAGTTCATCAGATCATACAGTCAAAATGATTCAGTTTTTTATCTAGGGAAAACCAGTTGATTGCATCGACTCGTTGACTCGGGTGCAATCCCTCACATTAAGCATGCTTGTTGCGACAGTGGAGAGGAAAAACTCCATTAAGGTGCACAATCCATATTTTGCCCCAATGATGTTGTCTTGAATGGTGATTTTTTGTGAATCGTCACAATTTAATAAAAATAAGTTATCTGCTTGATCATTATTCAATAAATTCGGTTAACTGAACAACCTTTCCATTTTAAACATTATGTTATTAGCTGCACCTGAAGTTAACTCGAATGCTTTCTCCATTTTTTTTCCAGTCTGGGGACTATTCTACTCTACTGTAATTTATCTACTTATTTATTTATTTCACTTTATTTTTTTCCCAAAGGCTCAACCTTCAAACCAGTTTCCCCGCAGCCATTAATGTCCTCCATCCAATATTTGCACCAGACAAATACCCTGAATTGTCTCCTGTGGTTTGCAGAGTGGATGGAGGATGCGGGGATGTTTGTTTCTGCTGATCCTTTATGAAGAGGAGGGGAGTGCGCCCTGATTGACGTCATCTTGCTTCATGCAGACAGAGAATGAGCAGCTGAGTGTACAAATATACAGCAACATCCTGATAGCGCTGCAGCCTATTTACCGATGGAGGGGATGTGAAGATGATGTCTCTGCGTGCGTCTTTTTCTCAGGTTAGTGGGGATTTCCTTGTGACTATAGAATAATTCCAGTTCCTATTGATGTCATGAAGCTCATGGATAATTCAGATACAGAGACGCGCTGCTGGGTTTTCACACAATGAGTCAGTCTCCGTGTTTATTTTATATCTACCGAAATATTCCCACTTATTAAGACATATTTATAAGTGCAAATTACTAATAAACACATTTAGTTTTCATAGTTAGTCAGTCCGTGTCTGAAGCTTGATTAATCACAGTTTTCTGAAATGGCATCAGAACGCAACCGAGTCGTGACGCGCGAGCTGCAGGTGACGCTGCGCAGCAGGGGAAGCCCTCCGCAGGGGGCGCCATTTTTAAAAACATTCAAGATTAACACCAATTAGCCCGTTGCCATGGTGAAAGTAAAGCGAGCCAGCCTCTTAAAATATACATATATATTTTTTACTTCAGTGGAAATAACGATCCATCCTCTTAGTCATTTTTTTTTTTCATTTTGAGCCTATATTAAAATTTTTTTTTGCTCATGGAGTAGGTAAAATTCAAGCTCAATGGTTTGAGGACCCAATTGCAGAAGCAGGGAGGCAGAGGTGAGTTTTTGTAGATTTAAGGAAAGGTCAATAGAAAACTGAAGCAGGAATCTAAAAATAAAACATGAAAAAAAGGTAAAACAAACCAGAACCATGAAGACTTCAGGGGAAAACAATCACGGCGAGTTAGACGGGGAACCAGCACTGCCGAACTGCACAAGGACAGTACTAATGGCTAACTGAACAAAGAGAGGACTAACGAGCTGATTGGGAGCAGGTGTGAAGACAGCAGTCTAAGGAGCTGGGGAAAAAGGAGACCAACACAGAGGGCAACAAATAAAACCCTA